ACCTATACAAGGAGCCGCATATTAACTTCTGAAGAGCCGCATGTGGCTCCGGAGACACAGGTTGGCCACCCCTACTCTATTGATAGTTTTTTGTGATGGAAATTCTTTAGGGGCAGCTGTTGCAAACAGAAAAAGAGTTTTGCTCTTAATCTCTCCATCTACTGCCTGCATGCTGTTTGTTCTCTGTTCCAGGACTGCTGTATATAGTTTATTTACACTTATATATATATATATATCCAGACTTAGTGATTTCTCCTCCAGTGAAAAGCCAGCCTGCAAGGCTCTCTCATGTATATCTCAGTAGAAGGCAACAATATTTTTGTTATTTTCAAACAATACTGATCTTTACTATCAGCCTGCTTTAGTAAATACATTTTGGCATAAACAAAAAAATATAAACAGCAAAACTTGAAACAAAATTAAAAGGTTATATTTTGTGAACTGTTCCCAAGTCAGGAGCCCTTACTGCCACAAGCAGCCAGAACATCTCAGCTAATCTCAGTTGCCCTATGGAGTATAGAAATAAAATTATGAAAGAGGATGGGGATTTGGAAGAGAATGCAGACAGACAAACCAACTCCCTTCTGACATCCCAATCTCACCACTCACCAGTACATTGCTCCAAGGATGACAACAGCGGAGAGTGAAGTGAAGGAGCTGCATCTGTCACAATCCTACCATTCAACAATAGGGTATTCATGGGTGAGCACGAGAGGGAGATGGGAGGAGAGCAGAACCCTGGTTCTGATCCAAAGCCTAATGAAGTCCATGGAAAAACTCCCATTAGTCATTTTGGGAGAGTATGCCAGCTCAACTTCTCACTTAGTGTAGATAGCATTTTTAATCTGAGAAACTCAGAGTCACAGGGCAACTGTATATTTCCTCTTAGTCGTTTAGCATAGGCACCCACTCTCCAGCTTCTGGCTCCCTCGTGACCAGCGTATCTCCAGGCTGAACAGTTGCCTACCTTCTGTGTTAGTCCCAGCAAAAGACAGTCTGCCTAAACAGGCCTGTTTACTTTCTCTTCAGAAGCTAACAACAGAGTAGAACCTCAGAGTTACAAACACCTCGGGAATGGAGGTTGTTCATAACTCTGAAACATTCATAATTCTGAACAAAATGTTGTGGTTGTTCTTTCAAAAGTTTACAACTAAACATGGACTTAGTAAAGTTTCAAAGCTATATTATGTAGAAGAAAAATGGTGTTTTTAACCATCCTAATTTCAGTGAAACAAGCACAGAAACAGTTCCCTTACCTTGTCAAAACATTTTTTTTAACTTTCCCTTTATTATTTTAGTAGTTTGTGTTTAACACAGTACTGTACTGTATTTGCCTTTTTTTTTGCAAGGGGGCGGGGGAGTCGCTGCTGCTGCCTGATTGTGTACTTCTGGTTCCAAATGAGGTGGGTTTGACTGGTCAGTTTGTAAGGCTATGTCTACACTACAGCCAGCAGCGATGCTCTGAGATCGATCCACCTGCAGTCAATTTAGAGAGGCTAGTGAAGACCCACCCAATCAACAGCAGATCGCTCTCCAGGCGACCCCTGTACTCTGTCCCCAAGGAGAAGAGTAAGGTAAGTCGATGGGAGAGTGTAGACCACATGGTAGTGTAGACATAACCTAACTCTGGTGTTTGTAATTCTGAGGTTCTACTGTAATTGCCAACAGTTAAGTTACCACAGTTGTTTCTATGCAAGCATATTTTATTCTTAAACTAAAAGTGCTACAGAGAAAACATATTCAAATCAATTAAAGAATCTACACACATGCTAAGAACCTTACTAGAGATCACCTCCCAACCCCCATTTCCACAAAGGCTCTGGCCAGTGTCAGTCCTTCCAACCTTTCCCTGAGTATGAGGCTCTCCATGGATCAGGGGTCCTGCCTGTCTGCTGGATCAGAATGAAGGCCCAGGTGTAAACTGAGCCATAGAGAGACTGTGGGATGTCTAAGGTCAAAGAGTAAGTTAATGGCATGTGAAGGAGAACAAGGGTGGTAGAACCAGGAGGGTAGTAGGAGCTAGTGCCCCCACAATAGAAATACTGCCGAAGCTAATTTATGTTTCCAATTCCACTTACCCATCCCCTCTGACTCCACCCCACTCTCCCCAGCTCCATTTACTGCCTCTCCATTGGCTGATTGGCTCTCAATTCCAAACAATCAGGTTATGGCCAGCATCCCTCCCCTCCAGCAATGGGTTGGGGCAGGGCATCTTTCCACTCTGCTATTCAAGGTGCATGGCTGCTGCTTCTGGTGGAGAACCCAAGAATCCTAAAGCTTATTCCCATGCTCTAAACACTAGCTCACACACCCAAACTATTGGTCTTTATATTTACTTTTTAAAAACAATATAAGTAGCTAATGTTTCTCACAGTGGATTCAGAAGTGTAAATAGACAAATAAAGTTGTTATGGTAACATGAATAAATGTGGCTTAGACTTATTTACAAAACACTTTGCAGATGGCAATAAGCAAACATTTCAGTTTAACAGCTGCCAAGGATCCTTGTTTGATAACTCTCAGTGTTTTAATCAGTAGCACTTTGACTAAGCATAGTTACTGATTGCGTGGACAGTGGGTATGATGGTAGAAGTGCGATTAGCTTGGATCCTGTATGTACATGTTTGAAACTTGTTCACACTTGCCTTAATCAATATGGGGTTTGTTAGTTGCAGTAAGCGCATGGGGGGGGGATTTCCCCCCCTAATTCAGCTGAGCTAGAGAAACACATTCATGACATTGTATCTCACGGTCAGTGCTGCCTGTTACTGCAGGGCTTTTCTGGCAGGCATTTGTTTTGAAGAGAAGAAACTCTTTGCATTTAGGCTCGATATTTGTAGTCTTCTCTGGCTTGTTGTAGTATGGATTTTGCTTTTTTGTTTTTGTCTTTTGTCATTAATTGTGGATATGAACTTGGCAAGGCATGTGTTTTGTTAGCTCAGCAAGGTCTCCTAGCAGTTTTTAAGAGCATTTTGCAAGATGAGGATTTTCATAGCTTTTGAAGGATTTTGTGAATCTTTTGACATTTCATCAGACCAAACTGTACAAGCTGTAAAACTGATGATAAAGGTAGGTGTTTAAAATTATCAAGCTAATTATTTTTAATTTTGATATGTTTAATTTATGGTTTAAATACATGTATAATATAAATGTATACTGCATAGTATTCCCTGCCCTAATGTAAGGGAGTTCATTTTATAGGTCTTCTGGCTGCCTATCCCTGATTTCTGTGTAAGGCTTCTGAGACTCTTACTGCCTGATTTTTCAGATTTAGCCTAGCTCTGCTTGTTGCAATATGAAAGATGGGGGCAGCAGGCAAAGCTACCGTTATACTACCATTATAATAGACAGGCTCCTGGTGAAAGTTAGAGCAATCTCGGGGCTACTTTAACTTGCATTTGGCTGCCAGCAGCCAACCCCAAGGGGCATTTCCCTCAAGTAAGAATCCTCAGGAATTCAATAGCACACTGGTTACACATCTCTTTCTCCCTAACCATGTTTCCCACATAGACTCTACTGTACAGGTGGGATGGAATCCCTTCCTGATCAGATCTGCCAGCTTTATGGTCCTTCTATGCTACCAGAAAAGCATAAAAATCTAGCCCTTATTCTTTAACAGGGAAATATTCAGAAACAAACTTTTACCTTGTAAAGGTACAGGAGATAGATAATGTTCACTTCTTACATGTGTAACATACATAACATGTCTAGGCACTTCGTCTTCTGCGGAAAGCAAGTGAGGGAGGGCTCATATCTGGTGCTGATACAATGTAGTATATTCTGGAATCAGGACAGAAATATTAAAAGTGGATACATAAATCTGAGTTTACTTTTGGGGGTTGTTTTCTTTTTATGATGGTTTACAGGCTCAGTGGCATTGTGTCAGAGCAAATTCAGACAAGCATTGGTCTCTCTGCGAAGGCATCTTTTTGAACCACTGACAACAAGTGCCACAATTTTATGTGAAATCTGATTGTCTCCTTCACCAGCAGCTCTGGGAAGGGTGTTCCAGTTCATGGGAGCAACCGGGAAAGTGTTCAGAGCTAGCGTGTGTTTGTGTAGAGAGTCAAGGGAACAGTCAATGGAGGAAGGAAGACCCTGTGGGACGCCCCAGTCAAGGCTGGAATTAAAAGAGAGACTTGAGTCCCCAGAGGTCTCAAATTGTCACCACTGAACTCCAGGCACATGTGCAGCAACTTGCACTCTACATTACATGGTGCCAGAATGATCACAGTGACATTTTAACTTGCTCCTTGTGAGATGAGACTCCTGTGATTCAGGAGTCCCTCTGGCTGCAGGTTTAGCTGCATTGTCTGAATTAACCCTATATTGTTTTATGCATTTACTTTGACACAGCAAGAAAAAGCACTATTTATGTCACGTTCATCCTTTCAAGGAGAGAGTCCAGAGTTCTTGCATAGTCAGGCTCACACTTTAAAAATGGCTTCTAATTTTGGTGTCCACAAGTTCTGATGCCAGCTGTGAATATGTAGGGTGAGATTTTCAAAAGCACTCAGTTTGGTTTAACTCTGCTCCCCCTGAAGTCAATGGGCGTTTTTTACATGAGATCAGATAGGCCAGGAGTCGGCAACCTTTCAGAAGCGGTGTGCCGAGTCTTCATTTATTCACTCTAATTTAAGGTTTCACGTGCCAAGTAATACATTTTAACATTTTTAGAAGGTCTCTTTCTATAAGTCTATAATATATAACTAAACTATTGTTGGATGTAAAGTAAATAAGGTTTTTAAAATGTTCAAGAAGCTTCATTTAAAATTAAATTAAAATGCAGAGCCCCCTGGACTGGTGGCAAGGACCTGGGCAGTGTGAGTGTGACTGAAAATCTGCTTGTGTGCCGCCTTTGGCACGCGTGCCATAGGTTGCCTACCCCTGAGATAGGCCAATACAGAGCTCTTTAGAAAATCCCACCTGACATCTAATTCAGGTACCTAAATATTCATTTAGGTGCCTCATTTTAGGCACCCAAGTTTGATGCTGGTAGTCTAGGTCCCTAAAGTTGGGCACCCAAACATATGTGGTAACCAAAAGCAGAGGCCACTTGGGAAAACTTGAGCTTTCATAACTCCCCAGCAAGAAGGTCACAGCCTCTGTATTTTTGCTTTAGCTTTGTGTCACTTGTAATAGATCAGATGTATTCATTTGTAGCAGCAAAACTTCATCACGTTCTTTAGCCTCCTATACAGAGAATTTATGTAATTTATAAGCAAAAAATAAACCTAGCCTAAATCAAGGGTCTTAGATCTCAACACTATTTTCTTTTCAAAACAAGGTATAAATCTTGTATCTAGCAGTTGTATGTTCTTAGAACACTTTACTTCGACTGTAAGCCCTGTGGGGCAAAGAGCATTTTCTAAGGCACTACTGTAATATACATACACCAATAATGAATGCAGATTTGTTCTGGGTAGGAATCACTGCTGCATAGACGTTCTTTTCACAATTTATTATTCATTTTTAGGATTATTTCCACATTCCACTTTCTGAAGACAAACAAGGCAGACGATATTTGGAGTTGATCTATGCAGGAGCAATACTGAAAGGACAACTGGATCCTTGCTGACATAGGAATATCAGTTTCCTCGACTATTAAATGTGTTGTTAAGGTACAGTATGATTAAAAAACTGATCGTCTTAAGTTGTCCAGAAATTGTGTGTTGTTTGGTTCTCCTTCTAGACCCTGTGCTAAATTTAACATCACTAAGCAGCAGTAGAAAATATCTGACCTCAAGAGTAGCCCCCTGACCTTCAAAGAATGAGTGTAAAAAGTTGTTATGGTAACATGAATGATTGGGCTTGCATCTATTTACATGGAACTTTAAAGACTGTAAAAATAGGGTCTCGCTACAGAAATTGAATTTGTGGAATGAAAGACCTTTACAAATAGGGAGAAAAAGCCTGATACAGCACAATACCCATTTCCCACTGTGGGCAATAGATTTAGGAGGATCTTGTCAGCAATATATTTCTGTCACCCCCAAATCCATTCCTTCCCTCAGTATCTGTGATCACAAATTGACTTTAGGTCATGATCTGTCATTTTTCCTCTGCTGAATATATACCTTGGCAGTCAGTTGCTGCTGCTCCTTCATGAAGTGCAGAAAAGCTAAAGGTAAATTGCATTAAATAGAAAAATAGCACTTGTCTCTCTACTCCCACTTGCACAGGCTTCCAGTAAGCTAAGTGCAGCAAGTTTTAAGTACAGCACATAGTATAGTCTTTATAATACTATTGTTGAGAATAGAGAGAGAGAAGCCACAGCTGGAACCTTGAACTTGAACCTCTTCGAATTTCAGAGGGTGTAGATTATATCCCAATCCTTGGCTCCAATCCTACCCCAATGGTTTTGGTTCTGAATTGGATTCTAAACCAGAATGAGCCATTTTTCCATTCATGGTTCAGTTGTGGACAAACTTGTGTGAGAAATGCTTACCATTCAGAGGTCTAATCTTGCAAGGTTGCCAGCATTCAAGATGACTGAAATCTCATAAGCAGCTGATCTCATGAGACTTTCACCATTTTGGGCTGAAATCTCAAAATCAACTATTGAGATTTTGAGACCATTAAAAACAATGATGAGCCCTGGCCCTTATTAGACCTCTAAGCTGAACCCTAAAGCCTAACCAAAGCCTATCCCTATATCTAGTGAGAACCAAGCATTCTGAGTTAATTTTAGAGGCATAGTTCTAAGAAGAATTATCATTCATTATAACTTAGCATCATGGTTTGGCTTCCTCCTTACCATGGAGAATACCCATGGAAGAGGATCAGGGAACTGCAAGATTTCCTTGCAGAGTTTCATCTACATAATCCCTGAAAGGGAAAGGATCTGGGGGCAGGAGGGGTGGAGACTTGGAGATCTGTGGAGTAAGGCCTCTTGACCCAGTGCATTCACTGGTTCTCCAGGGAAGGGCTCTTCCCCATCTCCCTCTCTATAGAGGCAGGAACTCATCCACGTCGATGGCTCATCTTTTATTTGGTTCCATTGGCCTCCCTCTCCTCTAGTAACACAACTGCACCAGGAGACATGCTGTCACTGATTGGGTCCACCTGCCCCTGTAGGTGCTTAGTAGCAGCTGCAGAGGACATGAGTGGGAGTTGAGAGCTCCCAGCTGTATAAATTTCCCGCTGAATTTTTGCATGGAAATGTGGTGTGGTAGGAGGGGACAGCGCCATAGAAAGTGGAAATTGCTTTGCTTCGACCCTGGCTCCAGCCTCAGTCCAATTCAAAATAAAACTGTTTATCAAGAACTAGTTTATTTCAGTTTGTGAAATGTGAAAAAAGAAAAAAAATCAAACAGGTGCTCCCTGCATTGTACTATCTAAAACAGCATGTATGATGCAAAAATTCAGAACACCAAAATCTTACTTTGCAATTCCGCTGTAACTGGAAAATCTCTTCTTCCTTCATTCTCAGGAAATAGAAAATATATTTCATCTTGCTTTCTAAATGCACCTATATTGAAATAACCTGGGTTTTTCTTGTTGTGTATAGCAAAAGTCACTCTTTTGCTGGAATACATGAGGAGGAGTTAAAATTTCAGGGGAATAACTCCTAATTCTGTATTACAGTTCTATGCCAACACTATTAAAGGAAATAAGCAATGCAAAAGATGTCACAAAATACAATAGCAACTTAGGCTGGTACGGTTTGGTAAAATAACTGTATCCTTAATATATAACTAAGGAAAACATGACATATATGATGTCTTTTGGGCATAATTTTCAAACCTGGTAGCCTAAATTTGGACACCTAGACCTGCATCTAGCTGTCTAAATTGTTGCTGTTTATATATACCTGTTTCAGACACATCAATGATTATACAGGCTATTAAAAGTATATTTAGACATCAAAATTGGGCTGCCTAGGGCCAGGGCCGGCTCTGGCTTTTTTGCCACCCCAGGCAAAAAAGCCACCCGCCATCCCCCGCCCCCCAGCGTGGCAGGGGAGGGCACCGAGCCCAGCCGCAGGCCGCTCTCCCCAACTGGCCAGAGTGCCGGGGGGAGGGCGGTGAGCCTGCCGCGGCTCCGCTGGCGGCCGGAGTTCTGGGAGGAGGGCGGAGAGCCCGACCGGGGCTCCGCTCTCCCCGGCAGCCAGAGCGCCGGGGGGAGGCAGCGAGCTGGCTGGGGCTCCACTCTCCCCGGCGGCCAGAGTGCCAGAGGGAGGGCGGAGAGCCCGCCACGGCTCCGCTCTCCCCGGTGGCCAGAGCACCGGGGGGAGGCGGAGTGGCGGCCAGAGCGCCGGGGGGAGGGCGGTGAGCCCGCCG